TGGAATAGCTCCCTTGACGCGGTCGTAAGTAGTAGAATATGGCGCATCGTACCTTGTACAAGCTGCTTTTAAGCTTATAAATTGACCCTTATTGTATGCACTGATTGCAAGAGCAATTTGACCTTCTTTTCGAGACATTTGAACAATAATTGGGTAAGTTATGTAGATTGAAAGTGTGTAGGGTGGTCAATGGTGGGGTAAAAAATCCGGACTGCTTATAAATCCGGACTCCTTATGAAGTACGTTAAATCCGGACTGCTTATAAATCCGGACTCCTTATGAAGTACGTTATGCATGTTAGAAGCGTTTTAGATAGAATTTAAGCAAAATTTCAAGGATCAATATCACCCCTTTGTGTATCATCAGTCTTGCAATGCCTTACTTTGAACTGGCTTCTATAATACAAATAAGAAAAGCAAAATTGGGTATCTAAATAACTCATCTCTCATAGCTTCCTCGTAATCTTACACACTCTCTGTAATGAGATTTCCGAACAAAATACCTCAACAACACCAGGCCACAGCAGCTCGCCCGCCAATCAACCTCCCCGTCATCTTAACCCACCTCATAACCCGCGCCAGCCCGTCTTCTGTCACTTACCAAGACTCTATCCCTTGATCCTCTGACTAGCAAATTGGTCCAGGACGAGTTCAAGGTCATGATAGAAGAGGGAAACAAAAGAACTTGTATAAATCCCAGCACCCTCACATCACCAATCTCTTAACAAGCACTCCATACCCATAACAAGGAATCCATTCTCTATTTTTTAATAATCCCCATCGTACAACTAATCGCCGTAATCGTCGCATTCGACCCATAAAGCCCATTCGGCAAAACCGATTCATCGACCGACAAATCTTTCCCTAGGACCGTCTCGCCGTCAAAAAAGTCGCACCGTTCATCCCGGATCTCGTTGCACCGCGAGGCGATTTTGAAGGACGCGACGCTCTTGGTGAAAAGCTGTTTTAAGAGCGGGTCGGTTATTTCGATGCGCTTTCCTGTCGGCTGGATTTGGATCATGATGTGTGTCTTGAGGTCGGTTTCGTCGCCGATTTTTTGGAAGAGCCCGACGAGGATGTCGACGCCGTTTCCGAGGGCTTGGGTGTGTGTGAGGAGGGTGAGGAGGGGGAGGAGGGAGAGATGGATGCGCATTTTTGGGGTTGGTTTTTGGTGTTTTGCATGGGATTTTTGGGGTTTATAGATTAAATGATTTCGAGAAAAGAATTAGGTAAGAAGGAAAGATTTAACGTACTACATAAGGAGTCCGGATTTATAAGCAGTCCGGATTTTTTACCCCACCATTGACCACCCTACACACTTTCAATCTACATAACTTACCCAATTATTGTTCAAATGTCTCGAAAAGAAGGTCAAATTGCTCTTGCAATCAGTGCATACAATAAGGGTCAATTTACAAGCTTAAAAGCAGCTTGTACAAGGTACGATGCGCCATATTCTACTACTTACGACCGCGTCAAGGGAGCTATTCCACAACGCAATTTCCGACCCCGAAACCAGAAACTCACCGACCTCGAGGAATCAGCACTTATACAATGGATGTTATCAATGGAAGCTAGAGGTCTGCCAGTACGGAAAGATTCGATACGCCAAATGGCCGATTTACTACTGGAAAAGCGAACTGGAGTAGGTCGAATTATTGTCGGAAAATGCTGGGTTGACAACTTTATAAAGCGCCACGACTCTTTACGGACGAAATACACTCGTAAATACGACTATAAGCGCGCAAATGCGAGGATCCTACGATTATCCGAGATTGGTTTCGATTAGTACATAATATTGTTGCGAAATATGGTATACTAGCGGAGGATATATACAATTTCGACGAGACTGGCTTTCAGATGGGAGTAATTGCGACCGCAAAAGTTGTTACAGGGTCAGAATATACAGGACGGGCTATTCATATACAACCAGGGAATCGCGAATGGGTTACAGTTGTCGAATCAATTTGTGCAGATGGATGGGTGTTGCCTCCAATGGTTATATTTGAGGGCAAGGTGCATATATCGACTTGGTATACAGATCAATTACCAGCAGATTGGACAATTGCACTTAGTGATAAAGGGTGGACCAATGATTCCTTAGGTCTTAAGTGGCTTTCAGACGTATTTGAGAAATATACCAAGGACCGTGTAAAAGGAGTATATCGACTTTTAATCCTCGATGGCCATGGTAGTCATTCTACTCCCGAATTCGATCTTTTCTGTTCAGAACATAACATCATAACGCTTTGTATGCCACCGCACTCATCTCATCTTTTACAGCCATTAGATGTTAGTTGCTTTGCAGTTTTAAAGCGACTTTATGGACGAGGAGTCGAGGAGCTAGTACGAGCCGGCACATATCATATCGATAAACCAGACTTCCTTTCAATATATCGTGTAGCCCGTACAAGTACTATGGTCAAAAACACAATCTGTAATGGATTCGCAACTACTGGCCTTGTCCCGTACAACCCAGATCAAGTATTGAGTAAATTACATACTCAATTACATACGCCTACTCCTCCTTTACTTTCTCCAAACCTACTACCTTGGGTCCCTGAGACACCCCATAATACATATGAGGCAGATCAGCAAACCCAGACAATTAAAGCATCTATTAAACGACGTACAAACGTTCTCTCAAGCCCTACTGCTATTGCATTAGATCAATTGGTTAAAGGGTGTAAGATGGCTATGCAATCAGCTACGGTTTTGGCAGAGGAAAATCGACGTTCACGAGCTGAATCTGAACGTCAAAAGAAGAAGAAGACTGTGCGACGTCAATATATTGCTACTGGGGGTGTTCTTACAGGTCAGGAAGGGAGGGAACTTATTCAAAATAGTGATAATATGGTTTTGGATGAAGCTGTGGCCCCGCTAATTGAACCACGAATTCGTGCACCACGAACCTGTAGTATATGTAGATCACTAGCGCATACTGCTCCTAGGTGCCCAGATCGAGAATAAGAAAGATAGTATAGTTTATATAAATAAATATTAAGTGGTTAAAGTTCTATGGTTTTTAAAAGTTGGATGGTGGGGTAAAAAATCCGGACTGCTCATAAATCCGGACTCCTTATGAAGTACGTTAATGGTATATGAACCACAAAAAGCAAGCTCACTAATCACTATCTAGAACCACAACTTCAGCCTCAGCCTCTCCAATACTTTCAATGCTCAACACATCTCCAGCATTGACATCGGAAACAAATGCCCCATCCCCCTCAGATAGAACGGCTGATTCTCGTCCGTCAATTCTGATCTTCATAGCACCCTTCTTGGTCATAGGAAGATGAATGTAAACATTTCTTCCTTCGGTTTTCTGGACAGCATTGGCGCCTACTGTCCACCTGAACCGTTTGTCCACACCGATGATTCCTTCAGCCATGACCAAATCTGCATGAATTGGAATTGTCTCTGGGAGGGTAGCTTCAGCAGCCTTCTCCTCTTCGGCTGTTGCCTTTGGTCCTGCTTTCAATGGGGAAAGTATAGGAAGAAACGCCTGTCGTTTTGCCTCCTCGGAGAAAGTGCGTGTATGATATCTTGGAGTGAGACCTCTCTTCCACGGCAGAGCCCAAATCTGAAGGAAATGGACCTCTTCATCCGACTCATTCTGTTCCGAGTGTGCGATACCTGTTCCCCCAGTCGTGAACTGAACATCTCCCCTGTGCATCTTGAAGAAATCATCGCCTTGCTTTCCTTCCGCGCCTTTTTTGATCATGCTATCCCGGTGTGTCAACTCCCCGCTCAAGATGTACGAGAAGATTTCTGCATCGCGATGAGGGTGGGTGGGAAAGCCGTTTTGCGCGTCGACTCGATCTTCATTGAGGACTCGCAGACTGCCGAAGTTCTGGTAGCGGGGATCGTAGTAGTTTGCGAAGGAGAAGGTGTGGTAAGTGTTGAGCCATCCGTGATCTGCGTGCCCGCGCTCGTTGGAACGGCGGGGTACGATCTTTGCGTGGGTGAGGGCTTTGGACATTGTTGCTTTGATAGCTTTTGATGCAGTGGTCATGGGAATTGGCTGTATAATTATTGGTGTGGTTATTTTCTCAATTGAAGGGGTAACTGAGGCTGTCTTGAAGTTTGTGAGAGCAGCAAATAGTTCTTGCAGTGGGATACTGAAGTAGACTGAAATTGAGATGAGAAAAATCGAGGAAAGCGCTACGAAGAACTTCATATATAGGCGTGGGAAGGGGGGACGAGAAGCTGCGAGATCATTGGAGACACGGGTTACATGAGGATTGAAAATTATTACCTACTGCTTTGTAGGACACACTTGAGTCTTTGATGCCGTTGTGGAGTGGATATTGAGGCTTTGATGTGAAGCTGCTTGGTGATGATTACGCAGAGCTTGTCAGCAGCCGTTTGTGGAGCAGAGTGGGGCAAGCTAATCCTGAATGGTATTATTTGGCACGTGGTATGCGCGAAAATGACGTAGTTTTGATCTAAGCGACTTGAGGCTGATTCTAGCGCCTTGTAATCTAATGACCAATCAAAAGGCATCCAGATTAGGAAAATGTACACATCAATCAGTGGTGATGTGAAATCTGGTGAGTCTCTATCAGTACTCGAGTACTTCATGCCTTCAATATTCTTGAGATGCAGATCACTACGCCTCTTAGGAAGCTCTTTCAAACTCAAGAATGACGAGACCAGATTGTCATCATTCTCAACTCACTCGTAAACATCACAAACTTCACACAAATCATGGACCCAGCAAGTTTCAAATCTCAACCACCCACGAAAAGCCCACCCTCGATACCCCCAAAAGTCCAAAATCCTGCCTCTTGCTCCCCCCATAAACACCCGGATCCTCAACCCTAAGTCTATTCAACAAACTCCCCGCAACCTCGATAACCAATTTATTCTCTCCCTCCTTGACCCCTTCTCCAAGTTCAACGCTTATAGCCAGCTGATCTGCAGCAACCATGTCATCATTAACCCAAACCCTAAACGACCCGAGAAAATGATCGAATGAGAGAGTGGCCACGAGTTTCGTTTTCGACCTTGAGGTTGGAGTAGAAGAGGGAAATGTAAAGAAAGTTGTGTATATTCCGACACCCGAGACGTCTTCACGCCCTTGGAGAGAAGTCCATGGTTGTAAAGGTGAGCTTAGAGTTAGATTGTGATTTAGGATGGTGGTGGTAGTTGTTGTGTTTCCCGGTCTCCAGTCCTCTAGTGATAACAACCAGTCTTTCAAGTCGATTGCAGGCGGTGCTTCTTCAGTGGTTGTTTCAACTGTATCGCCGTTTGAGAAGGTGGTGGTGTATGTGCCACCTTTAGCTGCACGAATCGCGTATTTACCCCCCCTCAGAAATTACAAGCTGGCCTGTGGACCCCACAGCATGGGTAACTACTGTATCTAGGGGCGCGAGAGTAACCAACATCGTTTGGCCAGGAAGGAGTTGAATCCTGAAAGACAATCTGCTGTTCTGAAGTTCCTCATAAATCGGGATAGGAGAAGTCTTTCCAGACCAAGGATCAAGAATAGAAGGAATAGCTTGTGAACTCCTCCTGGGGATAGAGACATCCTGATCAACGCCGTCTGTTGCTGAAGCAGCAACAAAGAAAAAATGATCTAGGTCGCCATCTACTCTGCGGATGTGAAGAAGTGAAGAATTGGTATGCCGAACGGCAGGAAGAACACCGAGTTTCGCGACACCATCAGCCATGGTCGCTCGGTCAGGAACGATGACCACATTCGGTAAAGCGAGCATTTCCTCGAACATTTCGGCAATCAGAGGAGACTGAGGAAATTCCCCATATCCATATGCGCGAATACCAGTCCAGTTCCCAACAATAAGAACCGGCAACCCATCTTTAGCGAAGTCGAGCAAACGTCTCATCGTATCCAGACTCAAAACAGGCGCAAGAGACGCAAAAGCATCTCCTTCAAAAGCCAGCATTCCAAAGTCTGGCCCCTCACTTGCAAGTCTTCTATTCGAAACCTCCGAAATAGGCACCCTCAAAAGACTAGGTGCAAGAAAATTCATACTCCACCCCATCCTCACTCCCTCACTTGAAAACCATGAAGCCCCAAACCCCGAAGCAACATAGCCTTTCTGTCTAAGAAAGCCAACATCATGCTTTGCCACTCCCCTCCTCAGAAAGAGCTGGACCCTCCCCAAATAAGCCGCAATATCACCAGCATGTCTCCACGCGGGCTGTCTCGGACCCCACGACTCCGCATACCGAATGGCCCCATTATACGGCGTGAAAGCCGCAAACCCAGGCCATTCCACACCCGGCGCTTCCTTATAACTAAATTCATGCAGAACATTCTGGTTCACCCCCGTGGAAAAGATCGGATTGAGCGTTCGCAGCACGCGTTCCCAGGTTGTGGTGTAGGCGGAGGTTGCGAATGCCGCTGCTTCGTTGGAGATGAGGGGTTTCTGTCCCATGTTTGAACCCCCTGCTAGGGAACGGCAGTCGTCGAGGTTTTTGAATCCGAGGGACGCCTTCTGCGATGTCTAGAGATGCGGCGGCGCCCATGGCGTCGGTTTGGAGGCCGTAGGGCTGGACGCGGAGAGTAATATCATGGGTCTGGGCCCAGGATTGCATGGGGTGGATGTGGTTTTTGATATACAGGTCACCCAGAACATCCCAAAAGTCGTTAAGAACCCTCCGGGAGATTTCTTGATCGGAGAATGCTATTGTAAATTTCTCTTTCTCGCGGACGATACTGGGAAGGAGTGGGCGGATGTCGTAACCCATTCGTTGGCTAAATTCAGACGGGAAATCGGGTGTCCAATACGTTGTAGCCTCAAACTCGAGGGAATCTTCAAAGAGGGATCCGAGACCTTGGATGCCTGTGTTGAGGATTTTGGAGTCCCAGAACTGGGTGATGGCTTTTGCACCTAGAGGGGAGAAGTGGTCTATAACATAGCTTGGTGGACTAGTATGTGGTCCTGCTTCCGGTAGCTGCCCTGTTCCACGGATACGGAAGGGCATTAGGATCCATGACCCTTCGGTTGGAGCTTTCCATGTTAGATTTCCGTTCATTACTTGACTCGTGAGATCTATCATAGTATTGGGGTCGAGGAGAAGTGTTCTATCCGAAGGCTTGCTTGCCGAATTGATCCTCCAAGCTTGAACAGAGATCAAAGTCTCATTCGTTACCCCCTGAGCAGGACCTTGAAAAGAAACAGGCAGTGGACCAGAGAATGAGAATTCGTTGGTAGCATTCAGGTACGCTCTCCCATGAACCAGCTCCTTCGCAGCAGCATCGTTATCCGGCGTAATAGTTGGCAACGAAGCAGGCCAGGAAGGCCCAACCGCAATATCAGTTCGCAGATTTCGCTTCTTTGCCTGTTCCGAAGCCCTGATCACCGCATCTGTCCAAGGAGTTGTAGCCCAACCGTGACCAAGTGGATCTAGCACATCGTCTTTCATACTGTGATGAACATCTTCTATTTCAACGCCACCGAACCCTGCATCGGCTATTTCATCTATCTCTGCGGAAATTTCTGTGGGGGAGACTAAACCGTGAGGCCACCACCAACGGAACATAGGGCGGAATTCTGGTGCTGGATTGGCGAAACTATTGAACAATTCTGCTGTGGAATTGACGACAGGGAAGGCTACTGAGTAAGACTACCAATAAGAGTCATTCGTGATACATTCTAGAACTAGAAACGACTCGCTATAGAAACCAAAACTTGTGGAAAATCGCTCCTCTGATTCTGTTACTTTCTTAGAGGATCGAAGCAATTATTCAAACCCTCCGGAGCAATCAAGCGTGGTATCCTAATCGCCCAAGCTGAGATCCTTGATTACTCTAAATTTCTGTATCAATCACTTTGATCCTCCCAGAAAAGTAGAACAACGAAAGCCAGATACAATTGCAACTTGCCACATATCTACTGTAGCACAGGAACGGGTTGAAAGTAAGACATGAAAAAAGAAACTTGCTAACGCACCATTTTGACGATGGACCCCGAAAGTGTACCTATCTTCACTTCAAAAGGCAATATTAATGAACTCAAATATGCTCATACAAACTGCTTTAACTTCGAAAAAGTAGCGCTAGTTCAAGAGTTTGAAACAAACTGCCAGAAGAACACAGTGCGCGTGATCTGTCTTGAAATGCTGTTGCCTAAGAAAACTCCAGATAAACAAATATGAAGGGCTGGATAGAAATTGGTTGTTCTCAACTAAACTCAAACTCGCCGCGGCTCGCTTCAAAACATCCGGAAAATCTATAAACTGTTAGACTTTCAACAAATTGCACTATAATCTTTCATATGATAACAAGAATAGGCTTATATTGTTTCCCAACAATGCCGACATGAATACTCAACTTCAGTGAATTATTGTCCACACATATGTACAACTATTGGATAAAGCGGGGTACATGCAACATTGAAGTCAGCAGCCCGTATTTCACATCCACTATGCCAAGCAGAAGTGGTCTACCCCTCTCACAAAAATACTACGCTACCCACTCGGCCAGATTCGAAACAATTGAACGACATATGCAAATCTTGACTCTTGAAGAAACTGGATCATATTCTCGAAATATGCGCGAGGAGGGTATGTCCTACGTACTTTCCATTTTGAATTCCTATTTTCAGTATGGCCATTAGTTTAGTTTACTTAGTTTTCAGGTTAGTTTTAATATTGTAAAACTAACTACGGTTTCAATCTAAATTATAAAACTAAACTAATAAAAAACAAAACAAAACTAAGTAAACTATTATAGTTTTATAAAACTAAGTATTATTTTAGTCTAAATTAGTAATTAAGTCTTATATAAGTATATCTACTTCCCTTATAATATCCTTATTATCTTATTTCTTTAACGCTTATATCGTCTGTTTAACTAATGATATCTCTTCCTTTATATCTATAAGTCTAAACTAGTTCTTTAAGTACATTAACGTATTAATTAAAGGTATTCTAAGATAATTCCGATAATTAGTAATTATTATTTTAGTACTAGAGAAGAGATGTTTAGGCGCCGCTAATATAGTAGGAATTAATAGTATATTAAGAGCTATTTGCGATAGATTAGGATACTACTTTTGTTATACTAATTCTAACTACTATAAAATTATATCCTTATAGGTAGGAATAGCTAGTAAGTTAATATAATATTCGTATTTATTATAGGCGGCTAGGTTATCGAGTACTTAGTCTTATTATTATAGGAATTAGATAAAAAGATTCTTATCTTTTAAAGGTATAGAAGTAGTAGTAGATTTAGGTTTATATTCGGATTTCTATAACTCTCGAACAAGAGTTTAAATAGTATTATAAAGGTCGCTATTCTAACTCTTATTAATATACTACTATTTACGTCGTAGATAGAGTACAAGAGCCGCTATATACGCTAGAGAGTTGTCTAATAATAGATAATATTTATTAAGTTTGTTCTAGCTAGTATTAAATATTTAAGATAAATTAAAATCTATCTTATAATACTTTTTACCTTACTTAAAAAGACCTAAACAAAAGTCTATTATAAGAATTATATTATAAAGTATAGATTTATTAGATTTAAGAGCTTTAGTTATTTGTTTAAAGGCGCGTAGGAAGTCTTATATAATACTAATAATCTATTATTCGTGCTCGGAAAGTACGCCGTCGGTATACTAATAATCGTCGGATTTTTCGGGGGGCTATAATTTAAAGAACTCCTTAATTAATACTCTTAAATCTACTACGCTTTCAAGTATATTATACTACGAGTTCTACTAAGTTAAATTATCCCTTTTTAATCCTCTACCCAGTCCTATAATATCCTTATATATATAACGTTACTAAATACTCCGCTAAATATAAATAATAATATTATAGAGTTTACTAAGAGGTCTTACTTTATACTATATCTTAACTTTTCGATAGTTATAGAAAGAATAGAATTATTACTCGAAAACTTAGGATCTAGTATATTCGTAGTAGTATTAAAGAGGAAGGAATTTATAACTAAATTAATAATATAGCCTATATAGTAACTTATATTTATTATTTAACTACGCTAAAGTTAAGACCCTAATATTTATAACAGATAACTATTTTACCCCCGGGTTAGAATTATTTATACTAATTTTAGTATAAATAGCTTACCTCTTTTAATCTTAGTTATTATTATATTATTATTCGAGGCGTTATTTATCTAAAAGTACTTAGTTTTATATTTAATATTCTATTCCTCTAATATCTTATAAATCCTATCTATAAGGTACGTACTATTATATTTAGACTTTAATTACTTAAGGCCTAAAACTATAGATCTAAGCGTTTTATCTAGACTAATAAAGTATATAATTATACTAAAGATAGCTAAGTAATTAAAAGAACTCTAGAGGTTATAAAAGATATGAATTTAGCTCTAAGTACTATCGAGAAGACTCTATATAAGAGCTTTTTAAATTATATATTAATTAAGAACCTAGTGTAACGAATACTCAAACTGGCTAACTAAACTTGGCTGGGTGTTCGCTGGTTGGTATGCTATGATAAGAAGAAGACTATCGGGTTGTTCACTTGGAAGTGAACTCGTGTGACGACACGTACGCAAGGCCCACGGTGTAGGTTGTGGAATCGTAGAACTGTCAATTAAACAAAGATTCTAAGCTGAGGAGAAGAGGAGAGCTCGAGAGAGCTTCGATCTAAATACTTGGTGTGGGTCGCTAAGCGAGACCACGTGATCCGAATGGTGGTGACGGTTAGAACCGTCACAACTCGTTACTTGTATCAAAGATGTCAAACTAATATGATAAGATTGATAACTAAGTTGAGCACGAAGCTCCTATCTAATGGCAGACGTGCCAGTCTTATATAGACCCTTCACTTTCCTGTACTTTGCCAGGACCGCTGGTCGGTCTAGTCGATCCAACTAGTCACGTGATAAGATACGAAGGAAATCCCTGGATCGCTTAGCTAGTCTAAGCATCCCTATTTGCTACAAGAAACCTGGATGTGCCTGTCGAGGGCTGCGCCTCTTTATTATGACAAGTATCACGTGAGCACGTGATTCGTGACACCTAGGACTAAATAGTTATATATAATCGAGGTAGAAAATCCAAAGACGCGGGATTTAAATAATAGTAGAAAGCTTAAAACTTTTTAACTTAAATAAGTCGAAAAGCTAGTATATAAATACTAATTATATATACCTAGAGATATTTAACTATTTTTATATTAAGCTATCTATTAATTTTACCTCTTTTCGCAAGGTTAATTTGAGATTACGTAGATACCTAACTAATAGATTATTCTATATTCTAGACTTACTTTTATCGACTACTATTCTCTAGTACCTAATAGTATTCGACAAGGTATCTAGAAAGGGCTCGAGTACTACTAGAAACCTAATATATTTATAGATAATACTTATATATCTAAATAAAGATAGTAGTATTTATAAGGTAGTACTTAAAGTTTCTATCCGCCGATAGTATATAATCCTAGATCTATAACTAACGTTAATTAGCGTTTATTTTACGCTTTCTTTTATAACTCGTAGCAGATAGATTAATCGAGGGAGTTATACTAGTTTTTATATTATCGTCTTCGTCTTCGTCTTTGTCTTCTTAGGTTAGTTTATTGTTTTATACTATAGTAGCTTTATGTCACGAATCACGTGTTCACGTGATACTTGTCATAATAAGAGGCGCAATCCTCGACAGGCACATTCAGGTTTCTTATAGCAAATAGGGATCGCTTAGGGTAGCTAAGCGATCCAAGGATTTCTTCCTTACAGGAGATCATGTGACTAGGGAGTATGAGGGAGTATAAGGGAGGCTTATACTACTCTATACTACCGGAGTATAAGGAAGTATAAGGAAGGCTTATACTACTCTATACTCGGACCATACGCGGGGTATGAAGGTTCTATATAAGACTGGCACGTCTGCCATTAGATAGGAGCTTCGTGCTCAACTTAGTTATCAATCTTATCATATTAGTTTGACATCTTTGATACAAGTAACGAGTTCACTTCCAAGTGAACAACCCGATAGTCTTCTTCTTATCATAGCATACCAACCAGCGAACACCCAGCCAAGTTTAGTTAGCCAGTGTGAGTATTCGTTACACTTTAGTAGTATTAGTAGCTTAAGCTCGCGCTACTTGTTATTCCGCGAGAGTTCTAGCCTAGGTAAATAATAACTTAGGTTAAATATACCTATTACAAGCCTTTTTAGTAGGTTTAACCGTACGCCTAGACTTCCTAGCTAGTAGCGGATCTATTATAGTAGGTATATTAATCTAATAGTACTACGTTTAGTAGAGTAGCTAATCTATTATTATAAAGAATATTTTAAGCGGTATTAATAAACTAATCATATTATAATAAATTACCTAGAAGTTACGTTTTAGGCTTAGTAGTATAGCCTTTCTATACTCCGTCCTTTAGGTACTTAGACTAATATACTCTTAAATATTTTAATTCCTATAGTATATACGCTATAAAATATCCTATAAAATACCTTATAATACTAAGAAAACCAGCTAGTTTTAATAGACAAAACTGAACTAACTAATAGTTTAGATTTTACTTATAAAACTAACCAAAAAATCGTTAAAACTAAACTAAACTAAACTAACCAGAACTAACCAACCTAACTACTGGCTACACTGCTTATTTTTTCCTTATTCAACATGGATACCAACCTAACATAAAAAAAGGGAGCCTGCCCGCACCGAGTATTGAGGTCGCGGAGTAATGATCGTGATATATATCACTCATCCTTTTGAGAGGGGGGAAATCGTAGGCCACGGTAACTGTCTTAAGCGGTTCGACGGCGAAGTAATTTGTGGTGTTCTCTGAGACTGTCAAGGAAAGTCTGTAGGTTGTTAGGATCATTGAAGATCAGATGGAGAGATTGCTCGAACCCTGTGTGATGTTTCCTTGTAAGAGGAATTCGCTTCCGTTTTTCTGTGTGGGTAGGGATATGTTGTAGGCAGAATATCTTGACGCGGTAAACCTTCCGTTGCTAGTGAGGTTTGGAAGTTGATTTTTGGGAAAAGATGTTAGCGAGAGTTCTAAAGTATTGAAGTTGCCAGATGGAAAGATGATGGCACAAACCTTGATATAATTACGGTCAACTCGAGTTGAGAAGACTTCAGAACCGGGAAAGTCACTTCGACGGAAGTATTCCCGCCTCCAAAAGCATATAACTCTCATTCTCAAGTTTCGGAAACGTCGAATCAACCAAAGATTACATATTCGTGGGACCGATATTGAACTCAGCCACGAACATAAGGTCATCCAAAGAAGTCTCTGTTTTTTTTTGAGACCTGGAACCGAAGCATTGACACCATATTTGGCCAGTTCACTCCGGATACTGGTGGTGCCAGGTATAATGGAGCTACCTTTATAGTCTTTGCTGATTAATATTCTGCCACCGGTGATTTCTGTGCAGTTTCGTGACAAGAATTGGTTGTCGAGGTCGCTTTGATTCGATGCAACGAAGATAACTGCTAGATTTCTACAGACAATTAGATGCAAGTGAAGGTTATTTATACAATTTAGTGTTGCGTGAATATTTAACAGCCTATTTTCTTCTTTTCTTGATCGCTATTTGGCCTGGAATTCATGTAACAACTGAATTTATTTACGACTTACAGTATAATAGACGAGCCAGGCATGGGCATGCAAGTAAGACGGCGTGCCCAAGCTGCAGCATTTGATGCCTCGATCGCGTCTGAAATTGTTGGATGTTGGACACTGCCTGTGCCTCTCAAACTTCAAGCATCTTCTACTATCCTTCTTTTCCCCTTCTTCTCAAACACCATTTTACGTTAAGCACAACTTGTCAATTGCTATTCACGTGCACGCCATAGCCATAACTCATCATTCTCAAGATGGCTCCACAAACCCAATCCCAGCATCCAAACCTCCCTCAGTCTGACTTCTTCTCCAAGTTTGCCAGCGTTTATATTCGCCAGACAGGTCGCTCAACCCTCGATATTCTTGCGGATGTAATTAAAAACCATGTCCAGACATCAGCGAGCCCTTTTGGACAAGAATCGATTGTTCACGACACAGCCGCGGGCCCTGGTATTGGTGCTGCCGCGATTATCGCCACACTTCCTAAGGACCAGTTACCAAAGAAGATGCTGGTAACAGATAACAACGCCATGATGGCGTCAGCCGCTGCTGAATCCCTCGACGCTTCCCCGTTGCCGGACATCAATTGCAAACAGCTCGACTCTCAAGACCTCTCATCCGTGCCGGATAACTATTTCAGTCACTCCATCGACAACTTTAGTATCTTCACCTTTGTCTCTCCCGTTGATGCAGTTCGTGAGACACACCGCACTCTGAGCTCAGGAGGCTTGGCAGTTGTAACCTGTTGGCGTCGCTTCGCCCCCATGTTCATGATCCACGCCGCACAGAAGAAATTACGTCCTGATCTTCCGTTGATGCCCGCTCCTGGTCCCGAGTTCTTCGAAGAGGGCGTGCTACAGAGAGTTGTCGAGGAGGGCGGCTTTCCTAGGAACAATATCACGATGATTGATAAGGTATTGCTCGTGACCGAGGAGGATAACATCGCTGGCTTAACTATGCTCATGTCGGGTCCTATGATGTCAAAGGCTCGTGATGGATACACCGAGGAAGAGCAGACTATATGAACCGAGTCTGTTAATGAGGCTGTGAAGGAAGAGATTGCAGAGTTTGGAGGTATCAGATTCGAGGCCTATGTCCTCTTGGCTACTAAGTAGAGTGGCTGAAAGGCGTCTCCTATTTGCTAGGGAGCAATCCATTACAAGAAATTACAACATTCTGAACATAAATCAGCTTATGTACCATCATACACCATGTATGTACTCTACTAAGTTACATCTGATATGTTGTATTTTGGCACATACTCTTGTATCCTCTTGAGTAACGAAACTTAAGTACTTCAAATATGAACTCCCCACACCCAAGACAACAACTTGGTGAGCTTTGGCTGAAATAACGACGTATTATAATACATTTTTCATGCATTATGAACTAGCCAGAAACCCTCATTACGGATGAGGAAATGTGCAGCAACAGAATGCTAGTCGCGAAGCATTTCGGTATCTCGTCAGGAATACAAGATCTCGCTAACGGTCTATATCGGTGACGCCAGGCCAGCGATGACAACACTGCCCTATTGCATTCTTATTGCTCAACTATCTTCTCTTGTGCTTGAATCTCTGATCATTTTGGGGTAAGCCTTGACTTCTATCAGACAACTATCCACCATGGCAAGTAAACAAGAAAGCAACTACTGGATGAAGAGTGAGAGAGCGTAAGCTTCTGACGAGCGACAATTTCATCGCTAAAGATACTATAAGGGGTTAGCTCGTTTGAGCACCCTGGGGGTTTATAGCATCCGTGTAAACTCCTAGATAGTGGGACTATCGATAGTGAGCAAAAGTAAAGCTATGTTGGTTTAACATCTTTTTATTTTTGGTTTTTATTATGAAATAAAACTCGAAACCTTGCTCCGGGATCTCAAGTTATTGTTGCAGTCTCTCTCAGATGATATCCATAAATCCGTCGCCACGGATCCCAACCCAGCACGCCAGTATGACCTAGCCCACTAACGTGTAACCCTTCTTGGTGTATGAACTAACCCCTCCGTGAAATCGCTCACCTCCTATATATATTCAAGCTTACTAAAAGTAACCTCATTATTGTGCAATTGTCCCTGGCACAATTCAAATATAACTTTCTTCTCAATAAACTCCCCAGGAAAAAACGTACTTCCCGTTCACTAATTTCATCACATGAATGACGGAATTGAATGTGGTCAACCTGTTATTATATTTAGAGATAGGTCCTCGTATTACTGAACTTGCCACGCTTGCTAAGAACCGCAAACTTTGTGTTTTGCCAAGACATATTGCTAAGCGAGACAGCAATGACACTTGCACAACCCAAACGAACGCATCTTCACCAGTAAAGAAGATCACCACATAGGAAACCAAAATGCTCTAGTCTCCCTATGATTCATATTGCGATTGAGTAAGAGGTCGTCCTCACCTAAAGACCTCTATAATGACTGGACGCTGCTGACTCTTAGCTAAGAAGTTTTTTGCAACCAGTTTTTACCTGCGGGTGCGAATAATTCGCACAGGTGAATAGCGGCCGGAAAATGTCCTGAGGTAATGAAGTCTCTAGTAGAGCTGCTTGCTTCATCTTATCGGCTAAGTTCAACGACTGCAGTGGTGCGATGAAGAACAAGACTTTGTGTGTCCTTCTGATTGGGCGTCGGAACGTTGGCTAGCGCAAGGACCTGAAGTTGATATCAAAGATTATGGCCATACGTTGGGCACACTCTAGATTCACTCTTGTTTGATAAAGCGAGAATACGGAGGCATTTGTAGCTTAGGGTCATTGTGGCCTTCATTGGATCAATCGAGATCATTTTTCTTATAATGAAAATCCGATCTAGGTATATAAATTTATGGGTTTACAAGTTAGAAAGATAAGCCTATTAGTGGATACTTTCCGATCGCCATACCAGTGATTTTGACTTGAAGATAAAGGGGTGTCGTGAAATATTCATTCAACCCTAGCGGCACTGCTTGCGGTGAATCATTAGGCGACTCAAATCTCCTCCTGGAGCGCTCCCACAAAAGTTTTGATACTCATGGATAACTTGGTAAAACTGTTACTGGGGTTGCAGGTATCATTGCGAACATTGCTTTTTGAGGTACGTGATCTCTATCTGAATACAACCTGAGCGCAGGAACAAGAAACACAATCTCAGGGTATCCCAAAACCGTCAGAGACTGTAGCAAAGATTCGCCATAGCACTTTGAATGCCATGAGAAATATTGGCTAGGTTGTGCGCGCTTCGAAGACGTTGAAATCGTGGCAGTCGAGTAGCGAAAGGCAAGGTTGGACGTGAAAATGACACCAGTAGGAGCCCCATGAGAGCCACTCATCGCCGAGGGCCATCTTCAACCACCGCTAGCAAGCGAAGCGAGGGTGGCGTCCAATAGAAAACTCAGAGGGAAAATTACGGCCCACAAATCGTGAAATTCACTCGCTTCACTCAAATTTATGTACCATCAATAAGCAAAACACAGCAACGAATCCACAGAGCCGAAGCCGTTGGTGGACTCCAATCGGCACGTCGCTTGAATGCTTGCATTTGAACGACATAGGCGTTTCCACATTGCCAGGTTAGCTACGATGCAGGGTTTACCGTCAAGATGAGATGCTTGCGGTATTCTAAACTTCGACAAGCGAGACGCCGCTAGGCGCAGACAGATGTCGGGGTGTTCTCAGAAATATGAGGCTCTTTACGGCCTGGTCAAGTCATACTTCCCTTCTGTTTTTGCGACGACACAATGGGTGATTTATTCCAAGCCTGGACAAGTAAGTATACTTGTCTCTGTATCTCGGACCCATGCCGCTTCACTACGTTGCCCTGGGTAGATGGGGTAAGTACTCACTGGGGGTAAAATTTGAGTACTCAGCATTTGGCAATAAGGTAGGCTGTGTGAGCCCTAACTTTTTGCTGCTTGTCCTTCTTGACAATTATATGCCTATGACTATAGGAGTTGTGGTTTCTTGCGCGACAAACCTTTTTCCTATGTCGGCGTTTCTATCTAATATTCTTCTTTTCTTTTCCTCTGTTCTAGCAAGTAGATCGAGAGCTTCTGTATAGTACGAAGGGTGAAAGTGCGACTATATAAGTTGTAGCCATAATTTGCAGCTTTGCCATTTCTATACGATCGCGATTAAATTGCCTGAACTTCAAGATGCATGGACATTATTCTTGGCTTTGATAACACGATAAAGTTAGAGATACTAGAACAATACCGTGTAAATCTAGTATACGTACAAATGCTATAGATTTGTAAGCATATTCTAATGTCTATGTTTCGTGTGCTCCAAAAAAGTATTATAACGATGTAGTGGTGGGTGTTGTATGTTTCAATTCCAATTGGAAGGATGTGATTGGCCACATCCCCATACCCGGGCCCCGGCATTCCTCCCCCGAATCTGGGGAAGCTCCAGGGTTGTGAAAAGGCAAAACAAACATTAACCAACAGGAAAGTAAATCGGCCTACCTACGGCAATTCCAAAGTCATTCGCAATTTCTCTACAGTGTACTACAGTGTAGATTTCTATAGAAGAAAAGACTCTTTAAAAGAGCAAAATCGCAAGATCAGGGTCATCCCAACCACTCGCGCTCCATTCGCCCGAACGGAAATGCCGAGCTTCAAGAGATCCACTTGTCATGTCGACCCCAACTTTCAAGCTACGCTACCTATTACTTCGTACATCCCAGATACGGACCGACTTCCTTTTACGAGACTCGACCCCCATTGTTAATCTTTACAAGATAGAGATAGAGCCTTTTGAAAGATAGAAAGACTTCCTCTCCCTTCATTCTTCATCCTCGTCCTCTTCCTAAGTTGACTTTGGACTCGTCGCCTGAGCAATTGCCGTTGCATTTACCTCGGTCTAACGCCACCCTTGAACCATCAAACAACACCAAAAAAAATGACTTTGATAGGTTCACAAGTCGCCGAGCACAACTCAAAAGAGTCGTGCTGGGTGATCATTCACGTATATAGTTCTGCGACTTGTGGATTTCAACTCAGCATTAGCTAACAATTCTCCAGGGCAAAGCCTACGACGTTACAGAATTTCTACCAGGTACAATAACTTCCCGCCATCTTCATTCCATCCTTTCTAACATCTGCAAAAGAACACCCTGGCGGACCAAAGATCATTCTCAAATATGCCGTAGGATACTCCCAAATCACAAGGCTACATCATGATTCTGACAATTGCGCAGGGCAAAGATGCGACCGAAGAGTTTGATCCCATCCATCCCCCAGATACACTCGATAAATACCTAGACAAATCAAAACACAAGGGTCAGGTTGACATGGGAACGGTAGAGAAGGAAGAGAAAGAATTCGATCCGGATGAGCAGGCACGACAAGAGAGGATTGCACGAATGCCGGTATTGGAACAATGCTACAACTTGATGGATTTCGAGGCAGTGGCAAGGAATGTCATGAAGAAGACTGCGTGGGCATACTATTCTAGTGGTGCTGATGATGAAATTGTGAGTGTTTAAATTGACTACTTTGATCTGGGGAATTATTCTGACCCGTCCAGACCATGAGAGAAAACCATACCGCCTTCCACAAAATCTGGTTCCGACCTCGGATTCTTGTCGATGTCGAAAAGGTAGATTTCAGCACCACCATGTTGGGAACAAAAGTCGATATGCCATTCTATGTTACTGCAACTGCACTTGGAAAGTTGGGTCACCCTGAAGGAGAAGTACTTCTTACCAAGGCGGCGAAGAAACACAACGTTATTCAGATGATTCCTACTTTAGCATCATGTTCTTTCGACGAAATCATGGATGCGGCTGAAGCAGATCAAGTCCAATGGATGCAGTTATACGTCAACAAAGACCGAGAAATCACCAAGAAAATTGTCCAACATGCTGAAAGTCGGGGTTGCAAAGGGCTTTTCATTACCGTTGATGCACCGCAACTTGGCCGACGAGAAAAGGATATGCGTTCCAAGTTTACCGATGTAGGGACAAATGTCCAAGCTGGATCTACAACGGATAACTCACAAGGAGCTGCAAGAGCAATAAGCAGTTTCATTGATCCGGCCTTAAGTTGGAAGGACATTCCTTGGTTTCTATCTATCACCAAGATGCCTATTATTCTCAAGGGTGTTCAGAGAGTTGAAGATGTCATTCGTGCTGTTGAGGCCGGCGTTCAAGGTGTAGTTCTCTCGAATCACGGAGGTCGGCAACTTGATTTCGCACGATCGGGTATTGAAGTACTTGCAGAGGTCATGCCCGTTCTTCGTGAGCGTGGCTGGGAGGATAGAATTGAGATATATATCGATGGTGGTGTAAGACGTGCTACCGATATCATCAAAGCTCTATGTTTAGGTGCAAAGGGCGTTGGTATCGGTAGACCGTTCTTATACGCTATGAGTGCTTATGGACCTCCAGGTTTGGATCGTGCTATGCAGCTGTTGAAAGATGAGATGGAGATGAACATGCGGTTGATTGGCTGTAATAGTGTTGATCAGCTAAACCCGACCTTGGTAGACACAAGAGGTTTGAGTATGCATACTACGAATGTGCCGGTTGACAATCTGGTAAGTACAGCTTTCTATCCATTCACAAAATCCTACAATTCCCAAAAGTGATAACTAACATATTCGCGTAGGGAATGGCTGTATATGATCCTTTGATCAACCCGAGGGAGAAGGCCAAATTGTAAATTATCTCGTCCACCTCTTAGGACATTTAGAGGACAGAGACTGTTGTATATACTACATGAGAATATTAAAGACGTATGGCTTTCCATTTACAGTACGAGTACTCTTACACACGCACCGTATCTTGAATCCCCTGTGGCCTCTGAAACATATAAACACACAATTCCATGATCACGCTCAACTCCTCTTTCTTTTCCTAGGTACCTCAATAACATCCGTCTCCACCGTAAAAGGCAGCCCATGAATCCACCACCACCTCCCAACCACCCCCAAAACCCACACCTGCATCAAAATCCTCAACACATCCCCCACCAACTCCCCCGTCCTCCACGGCATCACCCGTCTCAACATCCACACCACCCCCCTCCTCATCGGACCCTGCTGATACAAGCCCCCCAATACAAAATCAAGAGCCAGCAAGTTCGCACAGAAGATGTATATCCGTACTAATATCGAGGTTGGTCGTGGGATTGATATACGTATTGGTGATTCCAGGTTCGAGCTGGGGTGGTGGTTGTAGTTGGATTGCTGGGATCGCGAAAGTGGGCCTCGGGAGTCTTTGGAGCCTCGCTTGCAGTCTGGACAGAGACTGGGGCTTTTGCGGGAGAGGTAGGTGGAGATGAGGTTCGCGTCCCGGGGGCAGTGGGGGGCGGAGGTGCAGGGGGTGGTTTTGTGGGTGAGGTGGGTGCAGGGGTGGGTTATTGTTGTGAGGGTTTGACACATTTTTTTTAGTTGAGGGAGGTTTTTGGTTGGGGGGCTTTTTTTTTTGGTGGGTATGGGGTTTGAGGGTTGGAAGGAGGTGGGTGGTTTTTTGAGGTTTTACTTTACGGGTTGTAGTTGTGTGCACAAAGTCAAGCTTTTCAAGAACATCATTTTGCGTGTTTAGTAAGAACCGTTGGGTGAGTTGTTGTAGTACTGGTCTCTTCGTAAATACTAAATAAAGCTCTCGCAGCTGTGAAAGCCCAGTGCAGTACTCACACCAGCTCCCAGGCTTTGACGAGCTTGAATAGACTCTGACATTGTAACTGGAACTTAGAAAGCAACACCGTCCTGAGGAATTGGATGGCCCTATATAAACTGGTCCACTCCCAAGCTCGAATAGTCTGAGGTCAACTCTAGTCTAGTCTAGGCATACTCGGATTAGATGAGGATATGAGCAAGCAGATTTTCCATACAAGCGAACCTCACATTCCGCCGCAGAAATATCTTGATGGAAAATAATAATTAGGTCAATATCCAACAACATAAACATGGTCCAACCTCCATAACGTACAGTAATTGACATCGTTTCGTGGGCGCCGCTATGAAGGCTACATCTAAAGCTCGCACCTTTGCAAAACATTAGGGGGCTTGTGTTTTATAGTAATCTTTTTATTCGTTGTACTGTATGGGGTCGTTTGAGGGGCTATGCTAATGTGATGGATGGTTGTTGGTTTCAACTGATTTCGACATATTATAAAGGATAGAGAATGTTCTAGGATGGGTTTGCTTTTCAATGCGACAATTGCTACGACAGAGACTACGATGGCTAAAGAAGCTAGAGCTGGCAGATGAGCACTTTCAGCGTGTCTTTTCTTTTGGAAGAAGTCATTACATGAGGCTATACAGATAAAAGTTGAGATATGCTGTAAGCGAGATGTTGACGAATCCGTAATTCTATACGGCACCGGGTTATTGATAGCCAGATTCTAGATCGACGTAAGCATTTTTTGGACTGAGACTAAATTACACCAGAAAATCCTCGTATTATTCCAATTTCACGCCGGCCCTTGAGATTTAGATCGGCTAAAACAACAGTGCCCCAATATTCAATGGCCCAGTATTCCATGTCCCACTGACCGTCGTGGCATCAGAGAGCCCTATCGACTATGACTCTATTGCTTTACAGGCGGTCTCAACTGTTTTTAGCCTTAATTGACGAGGTTGGTGGTGTCGTAGACAGCATTTTTATCATAGTAGGTGGTAACTCCTTGGCCACGATCGATCCTATTGCTAAAGAAATGCCAGTCCTCTTTGACATAAAAAATATGGCAACGGACGCATTGAATTCCATGGGCTTCAGCCAAATATTATATTCTATCAAAATATTTAAGCTCAAATCAAAATCTAATCAGATTGGTCCCTACACGTCGTTTTGGTACTCAGGGATCAGACAGCATACAGTATTGTATCGTGTAGTAGCCGAACACACCCCGGTTCTAGGTATACTCAAGTCTCTCTTGGAATTAAAAGGCGGAATTGAGTAGATCGTCTTTTGGTAAAGTTATACAGTAGGTAGGTATTTAACACGACTCGTGTACAAGTATTCATGTTGATGGTACGAGTTCTTGATTAACATTGTTTTCCATTTGGTGTTGGAGTAAGAGTAAAGGCATATGTTAAGTAGGTATATCAATAGGCAGAACGCGAAGTCTTTTCTTTTGTGAAGCGATACCACAATAAAAGCACCAATTCAAAGAAATCAATGACAGATTACTCGAGTAGTAGCTGAGCTTGAGCACGGATAAGGGTTTGGAGAACTTGTTTCGTCAATGTTTGGTAAAACATCCCAACCATCTGTGCGCTGGACCCCCTCTACTTGTACCGCAAAACCAATTCAAGCTTCAAGCTGATCTACCTTTCCCACTTTTCTCCATCTTAGTTTCCATAAAGACAAGATGTTTTCGAATCTTCTTCTGACAGCCATCTCATTAACTGCGTTTGCACGAGTAGTCACCGGGACAGATCCAGTAGTATATATCTCACCCGCCTCCCAATGGCGATTAGAGAAGCCGAACTCGAGCTCTGATCAAACATGTACAAACTCCCAAAGAAACATCTTCTCCTCTCTCGCCAACGGAGGAATAGGAGAAGAGGGACAAGATATATGTCCCTCCCACCCCAGGAATTCAAGTTCTCCCTTCTCAGAACCTCAAACTCCACGCGAAATCATACCATGGTACTCAGCACACCAATGCGCTCTCTCCCCCTTTGAGGACCAAGAGTACTGCATTTACCACTCTCCAACCTTCGCCTCCTTTCGAAGCGTAGTCCTCATCTCATCCCCCTCCGTCGCGCCCACAATCTTCAACTCCTCGGCCTTCACAGCTCCCTTGCCCGAGAACCAACCATCTCTCTACCCACTCCCCTCAACCCCTCCCCTTTTCATTGAGAAGGACATCCCGGGAAGAGGCAAAGGACTAATAGCAAATCGCACAATCGCTCGAGGAGAACTGATCCTGCTCTCGAGACCGGTACTGATTGTAAGCGAAGAAACGCACGATACCCTTAATAAAAAAGATCGGTTGCCGTTTCAGAGGGAGGCGGTTGATATGTTGGGTGCTGATGCAAAGAGGCTATTTGATGGGTTGGCGGGACATTGGGGTGGTGATGAGGTTGACGATCGGATTATGACGAATGCTTTTGGGTATACTTTCGGGCAGGAGGGGAAGAGTTTTGGGGTTGTGGTTCCGGAGGCTGCTGTAAGTTCGATTTCTGACTTGGTTTGAAAAGGGGTGAGAGAGAAGCTAATCAAATCTGAAAAGCGGTTGAATCATGCCTGTAGACCCAAGTATGTTTTCGACATACAGAATAAGATGAAGAAAGTAGACAACTGATGAGCTCATAGTGCACGATTCGCATTCGAGCCAGATACTCTCATCCATAAAGTCCACGCAGTTCGAGACATCAAGTTCGGAGAAGAACTCACAATATCATGTTTGACCCCTCCCCCTTTAAGCTAGACCCAAACAGCGACTAACACGTCCCACACAAGACATCGATGAAAAACAAGCATTCGAACAGCGACACTCCTACATAAAATCCCACTGGGGTTTCTCATGCACCTGCTCGCATTGCACCGCACCCAGAGCCCAAAAGGACGCCTCAGACGCCCGAACACAACAAATCATCCATCTCCGCAAGCAGCTCCTCAATTTCATCCCACATAGAGGATTCACAGCCACTCCCGCCATGGCACTAGAACTTATCGAGCTTTACGACGTTGAGAACTTATACGCTAGCCGCGCAGAAGGATTTATGTTGGCTGCAGCGCGATATTGCATTTGGGAGGACGAAAAGAGAACGAGGGAATATGCTAGATTGGCGTTGGACAATTGGCTGATGTGGGAGTTGAAGGGGAAAGCAAATTTTGAGCTGTTGGAAGAGTTGGTCAAAGAGCCTAAGGGGAGTTGGTGTTGGGCTTTAGGAGCGAGGCAGCAAGAGGAGTTAGTCGAAGATTGGCAAGTGGTATGAAGCCATATCATTGAGAACCGCAGTCAAAATTTTGATCTTACAGGGACTGCGAACGTTGAGAAACTGCTACGCAGATATTTGTGCGCGGATAATGGTAGCTCTGATATACACACTTGTGTGGCTGAGGGCATAGCGTAATTGCACACAGTATTTCTCTTTTCATTTATGAAGTGCGGAAATAATGATCAAATTATCGATGCTTCTTGAACTCGAAATCTAACGGTATCTGGTATCAACAAAACAAACAAGACAATGCAGGTCTTGCCAGAACATGATTTCATGTCTGCTGTTCATGATAAGGCTCGTAACTTGGTTTTGGAGCCATGAACTATTTCAAGAATAATGACTCCCTCCAAACACAATAAGAGAGGCCCGCAAGTGAACTATCGACAAGTACACTGCAAGGCTATATATAGTCTTGGCAACAAGACCATAAAAACCTCGACGTAAAGCTGCATGGTCAGAACACAAATCCATTAGGCGAAAGTAGAATCCTGCAAATCCACTATCTGCTCCTCTGGATCACAAATCAAATTGAAATATGATGAGCCGCTAGGAGGGTCGCCTTGGGAAGAGATGATATGATTTAGATCCGTGACACTGGACTTTTCCTTGGTATTTGACAGGGAGGAATTGTTGATCCAATCTTCGTCAAGTAGAATTCGGGAAATATCCATCTCTCCCATGCTTCCAGGAAAGGGAGCTGCCATGGATCCACCCCAATCGAAAGACTGAGTGAAGGGTAAGTTATCGTTTGTTTCCGTCGTTTCGGTAATAGGCGCCTCAATGAAAGGAGTAAAATTATCTTTAAATCCAAATAAAGAGGTCTGGGGTTGAAAAGATATACTTTTGGAACCGCCTCGATCTGATGAAAGGATTTCTTCAATTCGCAAACCTTCGCGATTTGAGGAAGGATTTGATGAAGAGGGTTGGGTTTTAGAACCAAAGTTTCCCACAAGTGAGTCAAGGTCTCTCAATTCTGGCATCATCTTGCTTGAGAGGAAGGACGGTTGCTGCACTTGAGATACACCGACAGATGATGATTTGGGGTCTGAAATATCCTTGCCCTTTCGATCGGGTAACGGTAATGATGCGTGACCATCAACTGTCGTTCCAATTTCCGCGCCCAAACTTGGTTTCTTCCCAGAAATCTTTCCAGGGTCACCCTTTTCTTCAGATTTGAATTTCTCAGGAACCTTCGCGATTTGAGGAAGGATTTGATGAAGAGGGTTGGGTTTTAGAACCAAAGTTTCCCACAAGTGAGTCAAGGTCTCTCAATTCTGGCATCATCTTGCTTGAGAGGAAGGACGGTTGCTGCACTTGAGATACACCGACAGATGATGATTTGGGGTCTGAAATATCCTTGCCCTTTCGATCGGGTAACGGTAATGATGCGTGACCATCAACTGTCGTTCCAATTTCCGCGCCCAAACTTGGTTTCTTCCCAGAAATCTTTCCAGGGTCACCCTTTTCTTCAGATTTGAATTTCTCAGGATACTTATTCCTGAAGCGGTCTCGTAGGTCAGTTGGTTTCCGATTTTGCAAATGAAATTGAGGATCTCTCTGTATCCGTGACCACGCTGGGCCATGAATTTGATAGCCTTGCAGGATCTCACGGTCGTCTTCCTCAGAAAACTTAGTCCTCTCTCGTCGGTGAGATTTACGAAAGGGCCCCTCGATACCCAATTGAACAAGATCTTCTACTTTCTTTCTATGGGTTCGTGACTTCTTGGATTTGGAATTATCTCCAGAAGGGACGCTGGATACCAAATCTTCTTCATTTATGAGGATGTTTTCCGATAAAAGACCGGTTTTGGATTTTACAGGAGCACTACCTTTGCCCTTGTCACCTTGAAATTTGGTTAAGGGCTTATCCCCACGTAGCTCAGCTGGACAGCAGGTCCTGAATCGATCCTTCAAATCGGCTGCAGATCGGTTGTTGAATGGAAAGCTCGCGTCTTCGAGAATATCAGTCCAACACCCAATTCCATGCTTGTTGACACCTAAAAGTAAGGCACTTGTTTCTTCCTCGGTCCATTTTTTTCTTGTACGAACAACCTTTTTCCCCTTGTTTTCCTGGCCCCCTTCGATCTTTTCTTCTGGATCTTGTAGAGGAACATTTTTGGGGGCTTCTTCCACCTCTTTCACATTCGGAAGGTCATTGGTAGTATTCAGGGTATTTCGGCCATGTCTGTCATGAAAAGAACTAGAGGCGATGGGCGGAAAGAGAGCAGCTTGTGGCGGAGGTTGAAATAATCCAATGATAATTGGTGGAACCTGCTGAACAGCCTTTTGCTTCTTTGGGGGCTGGGGCAGTTGGACAAAATCGTCCTTGTTATCACCCAGAGAGCGTTTTTTGGATATAACTCCAGTGGAGACACTAACATCCTCGCCCAGTATCTTGCGCAAGGACTGCGGTGACGAGATTCCCAGCGCCCGGTCTGTTGTGCGTCTCTCAGTCTTCTGGCTCCCCTGACCACCCTCACTATGTGCATTTTCTCCATCGTCGATGAGGTTTGTCAAGGACGAGTTTCGCTGAGCGCTGGAGCCTGAATTTGAAGCTGGCTTACCGTTGCCATTGAGAGTACTTGCATCGGGCTCTAGTAGCAAAGGACGCCCGTTCGCTTTCAGGATATTGGGGTCTTGCAAAGGGGGAAGTTCGAGAGAGGTCGAGGGGGAGTCATCGAAGCGCTGAGCTGTTTCGTCGTTGTTGAATCGAGCGATCAGACGAGGTTCAATGGTCGCATACATATCATTTCATGGCACAGAGATGGGTGTGAATGCTATGAGCATGGTGGCGGTTGCCCCTGCCACATCTGTCCACCCGGTGCAAGACGAAGATCTTGGACTTGAGCTGGAGCTGGAGTGGAGCTGAAGCTGAAGCGTAAGTATTACGACTCGAATCTCGCAACAGGCTATGGTATGCTGAACGGTGGAGTGTTGAGAGGAGGCTACTCGTAGATTGATCAACAGAACCTCCCCTGGTCGTCCTTTGCCAGGGAAGCAATCCACGTGATCGCCCCATTTTTATACAAACCCCGAATGGGCCAGAGGAACATAGAACAGACACCCCACTACGAGTAGCAGTGTCACAGTTGTGCAGTGCAGTGCCAGTACGTACTCGAGTACTCATAGCCACTCCACTGCAATACTGGTACAAGCGAGCCTCATAAAACACCAAATCTCCACGCTCCGACGAATAGTGTCATTGGCCTCTGGAACTTCCCGGTCATCCTGGATTACGCCTCCACATCCTCATCATGACGTCTATACTACCTCCCTTCCCCAAGTTCGTTCTGACAGTTCTTGAGCCGATTTCTTTGTAAGCACCATCTAGTCTGATTCCGATCCCCGTGCTGTGATCTAATTTCTAAAGTCTGATGCTAATCTCCTCATGCGAATTGTAGAGTCGCCGGGGCCGTGGCTCCATTTATTTCTGCAGAATGGTTCATTGCCGAGCAGAGCCCGCTCACTCCAGTTCAGCCCATCTCTGCTAATGCTGCTACGGTTGCATACCAGTAAGACTACCTCTCTTTGATTCTACCAAACTTCCATCATATGCCTCCAATGATTCTGGTGCTATCCATCATCTTTAACCTCATAGCTATGACATATTCCGCTTAAACTCGGCAAACTTGTATCTCAACGTCTTTTTTTTTCTTTTCTCATTCCCTTCTATATCTCAGCAATTGTTCAAAAGAATTTCCCTCTTTCGCTTTTCAATTATGGATTAACGTCACAAACACAGACTGGGCAACATCTACCTCCTTCTTGCCATGGTAGGCATAGCTGTTCTCTACACCACCACGGAAGCGGCAGTCGTTCGAAACTATGTCATAGCCTTATGGATCGCGGATATTGGTCATGTAGCAATCACTTGTTACGGCATAGAATATGCTCGTCTCATCGACATTGCTAGTTGGAATCCAATGACTTGGGGAAATATTGCCGCAACTGTGAGTTTATTATCTTCAAGGCACGGATTTCATATTCACATTGCTCTCAAGGTTTTTCTCTTTATGACCAGGACTGGATATCTATTAGGACTCTTCGGTACAGACCGTATTCCATCTAAGGGGAGCAAGAAGCGCCAATAAATGAGCATAGACTCCCAAACATCAAACCACGAAGTCTTTATGATTCGAATTTCCTGCCTCTTGCGCTTTAGGGTTACTGTTTTTGTATGAAAGGTTTGCTCTTTCTATGTAACTTTACTACTTTGTGCCTCATCTTTTGGTCAAGGTGGATGACTATAATTGCCAAGCAACCTGCTGTTTCGAAATAGCATAGTAAGGAATGCATCGTTATTCCCGCTTATGATATTGGACGTGTTTTAAGGGAGCCCTACTGACCTAGAAATATTCGTGCTCGCTTAATATAACACAGTCATTGCCCACCATGTTCACTGAGTAAGGGATAGCTCAAGATCCAAACATCTTTATTGTAGGAGAGCACCAATGAAAAAGGCACGCTAGGTTTTCAGCACCTGTCTAGCTGCCGGAAACTAAATTCGATTAGCCATCACTGCGATGCTCCAGGAAAGCCAAATCATTTCATAATCGAAGGACAATGTTTTTATGGGAGGGGTCGGGATCATTTCGCAGAACTCGTTTATTCTACTTACTAAATACTCTAACGATTATCCTGGTTATTCCTAAAACGATGAGATAAAACAATCTCCATTTACAGGAACTTGGGAAGAGAAGGGTATATGAATGATATCATGATTTGGTAAGATACGCGGTTATTACTATAAACACACCTCAGTCAGAATCATATTATTCTACGAGTAAAAGCCTCGCACAACGAAAATATTTATACGAGCGATTCGGGACAACTGAAATCAATTCCTCTATATTAACCTAAGTAATTTAGAACAATCAAGTTAATTGTTCTAGAAATTCTAGCACAATAGGGTTTTAAGGTGTGTCCAGAGTAATGGGCACGTCTCTTGCCTCGGATTCAACGGAGCCCCGAGGGCCGATAGCTATCGGACTTCTCGGGTTCAACCTTTTCGACCTTTCCTCTGCAAAAGTATTGCATTTAAATACATGTATGAGTTCTCAGATTTTCCCTTTTTTTTTACACAATTTAAATCATTGCCTGGTCAAATCCTAAAATAATGCCAATCTACACCATCCTCGGCGGCACAGGCTCAACAGGAAGTGCCGTCATCCGAGCCCTTCTCGCCTTCCCTCAACCAGACCTCTCCATCCGCATCTTTGTCCGCTCAAAATCAAAACTCCTGAACCTCCTTCCAGAACTCACTACACATCTAAATACAACAATCATAGAAGGATCACTTAACTCACAATCTGACCTCTCAAAATGCCTAAGCGGATCCGACGCAATCTTCTCCTGCATCGCAACGAACGACAGCGCACCAGAAACAACAATAGCTGTAGATACCGCAGCATCCATTATCTCGGCCCTGAGGCTATTAAGAAGCACCTCAGGAGAGACCTTTAAATCACCTCTCGTTCTCGTCCTGACATCAGCAAGTGTAAACGACTCGCTTCAGGACAAACCTCCTCAACCTCTCAAAGCACTCTTAGAAAGAGCGCTCTGGTATCTCTATGAAGATTTGCGAAAAGCGCAGTCATTGTATCTATCTCTTCGCGAGGACGATCCTGGTCTGCTGGATGCTATCTTTGTGCAGCCTCCTGCTATTATGCCGGGGACGGTGCCGACGGGACATGAGATTAGTACGGTGAGGGGAGGTAGTGTGGTGAGTTTTGCGGATGTAGGGGCGGGTATGGTGGAGATGGCGGGGAAGAGGGGGGAGTTGAAGTGGAAGGGTGTAAGTGTTTTGGCTACGGGGAAGGTGGTTAGTGATTGGGGTCCAAATATTAGAGCTTTGTTGCCGGGGATGGTTGCGTATTGTTCGCCAATGATCTGGAGGTTGGGGAGAAGTTGGGGACTGTGGTGATCAAGTATAGACACTGTAAATTGAAATCCGCTATTCGGCCTTGTGTTTAAAAATGTCTTGGAGAGTTAACTTATGGCTAGGATAATAATGTGAGATTGTAACTATTACCGATCAATTAGTACAAAAGCCATGAATTTCATTGGCGAAGAGGAAGCTCAACAAAATCCCTAGCCTTGCCAACCAACACATCAAGTTCTATTTCCGCATCAGCTTTCAAAACTTCAACATCCATATCCTCCATATCCCCTTCATCACTCCCACTACCATTGTCACTACTCGCATCTTCCATGCTCTCATCCCCTTCATCACCATCTAGGTCCATCTCCACAATGTCGTGCTCCTCTAGCTCATAATCCTCCGTCTCATCATCATCATCCGGTATCTGTGAAAGCGGAACATCAAAAGGATATTTCTTGCCCACCTCATGCGCCTCCAAAAGTACCATATACATACACTTAAGCACACCATCCCACTCATCCACGGGGCCTGCTAATTCCTCGAATTTTCGAATCATCTCATCAGGAGTACACTTCGCAGACCAAGTTACAACGCCGTCTTCATAGCCACTGGCCTCACCACCTCTCATAGCGATCTTCTGCCTAAACTCTTCTCTCATAAGTAGACCGGTGGCCTGGACATAGTCAAGTTCCTGCTGTTATTCATGGTGCTTTTTGAATACTTCTTCAACGAGTTTTGCTTTCCATCTTTCTGCTTCGCCGGTACTCCAGCTTTCGTTTTGCTCACAAAGATCGATCCATCGATCCCTCATTTTACTATGAATCTTCTCATAAGACCGATTGTTAGTTATTTCTTTTTGACGTCTTACTAAAGCGCGGTAGTGAGGTTCCAAGAGGGGGAATGAGTTGGGCCAGTCATGGTTGCTTAACTCGATGGGATATGAAGGTATCTTCATGGATTTAATCGGAGAAGGTAGGGTTGAAAGTGCGAAGTGTGGGCGAGAGATGTGTTCTGGGTAAGGTGTGTTTCCCCAATTTTCTTTTTTCTGTTTCCAGTTCCTAAGGATTCGACAGCCGGCTTCTTCTGCTGGTACCATTCCTGGAGAACACTCATTTTCGAACTTGGTTCCTAACGAAATCAGTTGGTGCTGAAATTGAGATTGGTGCAAAGGTGCGAAGAGTGAGTGGGAGTTACGGTCAAGGAAGTGGAGTTGAGGCGCTGTTACCTAGTTCTCGCTTAGTTAGTTCATTTATTTACACGGGAGGGTGGGCTCCTGGTGGACAAGAAAAGTGGCAGAGACCTCTTTTATCTTATCCTAACTTAACTAAAAACCATTATATTATATTATTTATTTAGAATAATTAAAACGATTTATCGAAAACGATAGCACAATGAGGGCAATTGTTCTAGATATTTTGAGTATTTTAGTACTTAGAATTTACTTACGCTAATAGTTAAAAAAATGAATCTCACTTTCTTGTCCACCGGGAGGGTGGGGATGTCTTTCCGTAGACAAGATGGCAGCTTCCCAGCTTGAATACTCAAACTTAACCGGGAAAATTAGAACAATCTAAATAATTAATTCTACTATAAACTTCCAGGACCCAGGTCAATCACCCGAATTGGCCTAGGCCCTAGAAAAGTTAAGTACGACTCCATGATACCGTAATAATAGCCACTTTTCTTGTCCACCAGGAGTGATTTACCCGCATAATTCAAATACGAATATTCTAATAGAATAAACAGCTTCAATATTTGACTAGGATAATGAAACATGAAAGAACCCATTTTCAATTGCATCTCTATTGCATCAGGACTTGGAGTTTAGCCACAGCACGTGACTCCAGATCCCCCACCTGAACTAGATACCGCCACAGCCCGCCCCGCCGACTTTCTGCCGCCCCAGAAAAAAAGATCCAAAGCTCTTATCCATATCCTAAGCCTTCATCACCAATTCCTCTAACGAACGAATCAGGACAACCACAATGGGCGCACCGAAATCTCACAATGATGCGACACGCGCCGAGCGAAAAGCAAAGAAGCGCAAGCTCGAGGATGCGATCCCCGACCTCCCAGGCGAGGAGATGGACAATGTACCCTCGACAGACGAAGCGCAATCCGCGAAAAAGAACAAGAAGCGCAAGCGGGATGGAGACAAAGAAGGAGAGGATGACGAGGAGAGAAGCCTACGGAAAAAAGAGAAGAAGGAAAAGAAATCGAAGAAGGAGAATGTGAAACCAGAAGTCGACGCTGAAGGAGACATTGCGATATCTGCGATTGCAGAGGGTGAAGAGGCGCCTAGGAAATCGAAGAAAGAGAGAAAGGCAGAGAGAAAAGCTAAGGATGCGGCCGAGCCTAAGGAGCAGGCAAAGAAAGGGGCTGCTACTCCTGCTGTCCCCGCCGAGGGTATTTCCAAGACCGAAGTCAGCGGAGAGCAGGAAACTACAGCAGCACCAAAAACGGAGAAGAAATCTAAGAACAATCGAAATCGGGAGAAGAAGCGAAAACCACTTGCGAATGGCGAAGCTGTACCTGCGAAACCTGCAAGATTTATTGTCTTCATCGGTACCTAGCCCTCCTATGCCCAAAATCAACTTGCTTTCTAACGAGACTCTCAGGTAATCTTCCATTTTCAGCCAGTAAAGAATCCGTAGCCGCCCACTTTGCCAAAGTAAAGCCCAAATCAGTCCGATGTCTCACCCAAAAGGAGGATCCCACGAAATGTAAAGGTTGCGCATTCGTGGAATTTGATGGATACGACCATATGAAGACATGCTTGAAGTTGTTTCATCATAGCATGTTCAATGACGGTATCAGTCCTGAGAGGAAGATAAATGTTGAATTGACGTATGTTTCCCTTTTGACCTCTCTCAAAAAATGTATAACTAACAGCATTCAACAACAGTGCTGGAGGCGGAGGTAATACCCAAGATCGCAGAAACAAAATCCAAGAGAAGAACACAAAGTTAAATGAGCAGCGGATAAGAAGGTTGCAAGAAGAGGAGAAGGCAAAGTGGGAGAAGAAGAAGGATCAACCAGCCGATGAGAGTGGTATACATCCTAGCAGAAGAGGGATTGTTCCCGGTTCTTGATACCCCCCGCCGTTAATTTGTTGATTAGAATAAGTTGTATGAAAGATTTTGTATTTTACAAATGATAAATGTCTGTTTGGCGCGTGGAGTCAAAATCCTCTCGTGGAATGGCAAGTTATGTGTCCATCGTGAGCAAAGAAAGGATTTGACTTGAAGTTCCCCCTTGAAATTTGTCTTTCTGTACCCCTCTGCTAATAACCACAAATCCTACAAGACCCACTCAATTAGAGAGCAAGTTTACTCATGGCTATCAGTGCAGTATCGTCTTCGCAAATTCAGTGACAGGTACCATATCATGTCTAGAAACACAGAGCTATTCACTACCATCCCAGCCCCAAACCTCCACAAAAGAATCCCCAAAAAGATAAAAAACAAGAAAAAAACAGCAAAAAGTATCCTCCACTCCCACCTACTTGTAGAGAGCGCCCAGGACATGAAAACTAGACGTACTGAGTTTTACAGATTATTTTTAGGCTTCTCGAACGAGAGGTTTTAGTATGTGCTATTAGTTTTAATTGCATAGCACAATGAGTGGGATTCTCACGCATTTTTGTCGAATGTTACCGGTGGGCCAAGATAACTGTTCTGATGAATTGGTGACAGTGAGAGTTGTGTTTGGAAATATGGACTTCTGTGGCTTGTTTTGTGGGTAGATTTGTATTTGTATGACCAATTGTATTGCATTGTGTAGTATAGGTGATGTTGGGGATTGTTTTTGGGTTGGTTGGATAATGTGATGTGGGAGTGAATAGCTTTCTTGCTAATGATTGCTCAATTGGTTGGTCGATAGAAAGTAGGACTTAGCTAATGCTACTAGCAATCTAATACTCCTCGGTCTGAAAGCCATATCATTTTCTTCCTTACGATATGGGATTATAAACTAAGTTGCAGTATTCAATACTCAGTTATGATTCGGTTACTCCCTGAGAACATCTTAACTACCACAAGGTCTACAATGATAATTTTGCGAAGACACCTGGTATGAGTCGCTCAATTATCCTAGTATATCTAGGCTAATAGAGAACAAGAAATGTTAGCTATTCCAAATGAGTCGTATCACTAATTCAGCTGTGTGAAGCTTTTATAGGGGCCAGAATAAATTATGGGGGTATCCAGAGTAATGGCCGGATATCTTATTGTGCTTCCCTCCTGACCAAACAATAACCCCCACATCCAAATCCCAAGTATAGGTAACTCTTGTTGCTCTAGCGATGTAAACAAAACACTTTCTATCAACAAAGTTGGAGGATGAGATTACAGATCTCGGTTATGTTCAGTAACCAGTGACCTACAATAACAAACCCGACGTCTTTCAGAGCAATGGCTGTCTCATCTCAGGTGTCAAGGGCTTAGCTTTTATCTTCCCTAGATACGAATCAATCACTCATCCACGGGTTGCTAGCGCAAGAGAATACGCAAGTCACTCACTTTCCAACGCCAAGATTTATTCCAAACAGTCATCAAAGCATTAATTCATTACTCGTAACTCATATCTCGCAAGAAACAAAGCCGTACAATCTTCCAGGACATTACACCAGAGAATCATCTCATAAGAAACACTCCACTCCACCAAGTATAATATATAAAAGCAAAGCAATCCTCTCAAAGCCCCAGTACCCAAAGCGATCAATAGCCAAGAGTGATCGCTAATCCACCTATAGAGTAGTCCTATCCAAGTATAGTCACTACTCCAAAATCATCATCCAAAGTGGTATACAATAGGCAAATGACTCTGAAGAATTCAAAGTGAGAGGTAGATTGCCACTACCGTCGACAGAGCATGGAAAGCAAGACATGGGCCGATTTTGCTAGTAACACCGGTATGAACAATTCTTTTGGCGTATGTTGGAAAAGACTTGACAGATTTCGTTGTGGAAGGCGTTCTGGCAGTGACAATCGTTGAGACAGTGGCATACACGTAATTGACTCTTCGAGGAAGCAAAACATCGGGCGTCGGGGAAGGAATTGCACTAGCACCCCATGAATTGACAACACTTTGTACTGGGAAATTCGCACTTTGCGTAAGATAACTCGCACTTTGTGTCGGGAACGCAAAGCTTTCCAGTGGAAAACCGGCGCTTCGAAGAGAGTAACCAGAGCTTTCGGTCGACCATGCGATTCCTGAAATACCCGATTCGTAACGTTTTTCTTTCCCCCCAACCAGGTATTCTGCTTCCTTGCGTTTTCGAAGGGAATCATGATTCGGTATAGGGGGAACTCCGTAAACGATCTGGGAACCGGTATCGACACATTGTGAGATTGCAAAGTGGAGTGCGGAGCCAAAATGGACTGTGTCGCATTGAGAGTAGAGGCATTGAAAGAGGGACTTTCAGAGGTTAGCTTTGCGGTTATAAAAACATTCATGAGTATGACCCTTGATAGGCTTGACTAACATTCTGATATCCAGCGTCTTCGCAAAGACAGAATATGTCATTCATACACTTGGTAACGTATTTCGTATTTTCCCAACAGGTTGTAGCACATTCTAGAATCACGGATTAGAAGTGAACTTCACAAACAATCGGGTGTCCCACCTGGAACAGATACATCCTTTTGCGCCTCGATAAACGAAATCACTCCAAGGAGAAGGAGAAAGCAGAAACCCCACATCCTCTGATGATGTATCCTCTGATGGAGTAGTCAAGATGAGATTCCAAAGACGGTGCTGATGAGTTTCGCTGCAAAACTAGAATTGAACGAGTGGACATCGACGAATGCGATTGTTAAAAGGCGAGGTTTCCAAAAGGTGGAAGGTGGTTCCAAAAAGAAAGAAGACCAAAAGAAGGTGAGGTCAGTAACGACAGCTCAACCGAGTTCCAAAATCGGTTCGATGTGTTGCGCGAAAAGATATCACGCAGAGAAAGAGTGTCGACGCATTCGATGGGCGTCAATCGTTGGTCGTTGGTCGTTGGGCGTTGGGCGTATTGTTTGGAAAGGAAATTGAATAGGAGGACTGGAACGAGATAGGTGCTAAGCCCATCGAGGCAGAGAAGCTCAAAACCAGCAGTTGCGACCGAACAGCGATGGTTTCAAGCATCCAAGGCTTCCGCAATCGCACCTTCCAGATCAGACTCAAAGCCTAACTTCAGTCTGTTCCTCGACACCTGCAGTCTCTCAGGAAATAGGTTCAGAGGAAGGCAGAACTCACGGGGAAACAAATGACACACTCGGAATTGCAATAAAAGATGAAAAACAAAGGGAATGCAGCTCAAAATGGGTATTATTGCCTACTCTCAATTCCCTAATAAAACAAAAGCTGTATGCCTTTTTCAACCGCGTATTTTTCCTTGAACACGGTCTGATTGAGCCATAGCATCAGCGGTACTTGCGTCTCCTTCATATCTAGAATACCCCTCTTTTTAATATCTATATGTGATGCGTCAATCACAATCCTCTCCAGTCTATCAACATCTAGAGCACCTGCAATTGTGTTAGCTTATGTTCTCGATTGACAACAGATATCAAGCACGAACCGTCATCCATAAGATCCTTCAAGCGTGTTGGTGTGCCTACTGCGATACCCGTCCTGGTAGATTTCAGAAACTTCACCGAGTCCTGAAGCTTAATGTGCTTTGCAAACAGCTTGGCAACAGTTGCATCTTTCGTCTGAAATTTTCGCATTATTCTTGCAATTTCTGCCGCTCTCAGTCCAGCCGCTGTCACCATGATTGTATGAGGGGCACCACTCTTCTTCGAAGCCGACCATAACTTAGTCGAATTTCCAGCAAACTTCTCCAAAAATCCGGGAAGATTATCGAGTATCCTTGGCTTATCCCACGAGGTCGTATCATGTATTTCGCTCGCTGCAAACATTATTTCAGAATTGACCGCCATTGCATCTCTAGGAAGACAATACTAACCTGGGATATATTTGTCTTCCAGCTCTATCGAGCTGAGATCACTCTCAAATTTTCGTGTCTTTTGAGCAATGTAGTCGGAGACTAGCTGGTTGTCCATGCTTGAAAATGCGGTATTAACTCCTGCTTCGAGATCCAATCCATCATCCTCATCGCGCTTTGCTTTCTTGCTCTTCATTTTTTTTGCTCCATCTTTCGCAGTGACTTGGACCTTGGTTCCTCGCTTTCTTTTCTTCGATATCGGTTCAGTGGCAGCTTCGGCGTCTGGCGTCGCACTAATTCTTTCGACCAATGGCTCTTGTAGAACTTCGCTGGGCATCTTGAGCGGCGGTTGTGTATTGAGAAGAGAAGTTGATCTTCACTCAGCTCGGAGCTTTTATTTTTTGCGACGGATTTAAAGTTGTACACCGCTTTCTAATTGGGTCTAGTGCGGGGGATCCGTCGCGTTAACCAAGGATCTGGGAAAGGTCCGACGCGTCAAGACATCATCAGTCAGTGAAATACCTGGGCAATGCGGAATTATTTCAACAATCAGTCTACCCGGATCTCCAATACCAAATTCAACACCAACACCAACACCAACTAGAATACAAGTTTTCTACAAAGCTAATCTGGATTCTGAGGTTACAGCAGCATCTTGTCTGCCATGTCGGCAAAAGATAGCTCAGGCCCGAGTGCCGTGAACAGAACGGTCAACAACCTCTCATTTAAACCCAAGATCACTCCCCGAAAATCGGAATTGGAGGATGTAAGCGCAGAGATAAATGAAACAACACACGATGCTCTCCGCCAGTTAGCGAATATTCCTAAACCTACAACGCCTCGCCGTGCTGCTAGTGCTGGCCCATCTCCAAGTCATCGTTCTGCTCGCAGAACTCCAGGAGCAGCACAGGCAAGAACACCGGGTGGCGTGACCAAATATGGCGGGTCTGCAAGAAAACCGATTGCTGTAACACCACACGGGAGAGCCGCACAACGCGAGCTTGAAGCCAGGAGGGCGGGATTGACACCAGGGAAGGATAGAAGGAAAAGTGGACGACAACAGAGAGAAACACCAAGAGACACACTGAGAACTCTCAGTCGATTGCTGGCTCCCAAAACGCAACCATTGGTTCAAACACCACCTCCTGCTAAGCCACCAAGGAAGAGTTATGCTCTACCGGAATTTGATGATGACGATGATGACGGCTTTGAACTCAAACGCCCGCGATTATCGTTGCCCATTGGAGAAGAGACCGATGAGGATGACGACGAAGATGAAAGTCTACTCTTACCACCTCGATCCGCTGGGCTAGAAGACGAAGATTTCACTGTACAATCCGTTGAGCTTGGCAGAAGAGCTCGGAACGAGCAGCCACTTAGCCGGTTATCCAGGGGAAGTTTTGGAAATATTCGCATGAGCGACCGATTTGGCAATTCAAGTCCATTCGGAGCGGAGAGATATGGCGACGATTCCAGCGTCTTGGGTCCGACTGGTTACGACGATGAAGATATGAACGATATGGCAGGGCCACCGGAGTGAGTTTTCTGCTATTGTCTTTTTTCTCTCTCCTTGGGCTTGACTCTAACAAACACAGTGAAAATACAGAAACATTGAATCTCGGCCTAGACCGAGGAATGCTATCTCTCCAATCTGAGAATGATGATATTCGTCCATCCGGATTTACAGGAGATGATACCGAAAACACTTTTCTTTTCACTGTGCCTCCCAGGGAGGCCTCAGAGGAGCCAGTTGATGAACCATCCGGATCCCCGGACTTGCCAGTTTCAAACGAGCCTGAGATTGTAGATGAGGTGGAGATTCAGATGAATGACGAGAGAATGGACATGAACGAGCCTTCGATAATTGAGGACCAGGTTAATGATGTAGAAGAACCTGACATGGATGAGCCCGAGTCTCCCGAAGCCGCATCATCAGCTTTGGAAATGAACACTAGCATTCAGGATACAACCTTGGGAGACTTTGATATCACGAATCAAGTGAGAAGTAAAGTCGGGCCTAGAAAAAAGGTAAAAATATCGAAGCACGGAATACAATATCCATCGCTTCCGGCTGGGGTTGTGAAGAAATTAGCGACCACTTTTGCAAGAATGGGTGGGAATAGCAAGGCCAAGATCAACAAGGAAACTTTGGATGCCATTATGCAAGCTACCGATTGGTTCTTCGAACAGGCTAGTGATGATTTAGGAGCTTACGCCCAACACGCTGGGAGGAAAACAATCGACGAAAGCGATGTTGTCACACTTATGGCGAGGTAAGTTTGAAATGCGTAATACATCCGATTAATTACTAACTAGGAAAGGCAACGACAAACCAATGCAAACACGACTCCCTTTTCGCTCGCTCAGAAATATCTACCCAGAGAGCTCTTACAGGAACTGCGGATGGTTCCTCTACCTAAGTTGAAGAAGACTCGTAAACTACCAACCATTGAAGAGTAAAACGAATGAAAGCCAGAATATTCGGAATGCTTATTTGAAATTTGATATTGGAGAACCAAACGGCTTGGTTTTTAAACAGCAAAACTTTGTCAGACCTTTTTCATGAGCTGCTCGCCATGTATAGGATTATTTGGACTTCAAGCCCTACACGTGAAGTCGCATGCTGAAAAAGAATCCCGGTGTCACGCAGGTATCGAATCCGGGTGCTGTAGGGTTAAACAGTCGGTCCAATGGTTATGATTTGCCTAGCAAGGGATGGGCTTCTATCAAAGCTTGCGTCTAGTTTTCACATCCCCGGCTGTTAGTGGCGAGAGGCAATCTTTGATGGAAATCCACAATACCAATAGTGCGGGGGACGGAGATGGGTATTCCGAGGCTACGTTAATACTGGTGTCGAGGCACAGGGTTTGCGAGATGGATAGCGGAGCTGAAGCAGCATTTTTGTGAATCGCGTTCTACAAAAGCATGAGCTTCTCTTCGTATATGGTAAAGCGGGCTCTGCCGTAAACACTCACTATCAGAAGTGAAGCTACAATCCTGTTCAGCGCAGGCGGGGTGTACTACTAGTAATGTACAACGTTTTTGTACAATATGTTTACATTTATGGTCTAGTCAAGTTATTATGACCATTCTTTATTTTGTCTTATGCGACGTGCTATGTCCTTCGGAGGTTTCTTCACAACCATCCAGAGCATGACTGATGTAGCCGCTGCTAGAGCATACCTAAACAAATGTAAGTACAAGCTCGTGGTTTCAGATATTCCAGGAGTCGTTATAATTACGCACCAAGTAAAGATATACTGAGCGTGGTTATTCCTCAGGTTGACCTCGGCAGGTCTTCCGATTGGGATTCCTCGAGCTTCACGGTCCCAGGAGACTATCAAGTCGGCCTCTAGACAGTACGTTAGTTTGGCCCACCTCCATACAAACATGCAGACGAACCCATTGTTTCTTCAATCCACACTGCTTGACTACCCGTCAACTCAGCCATCTGTTTCACATCTGGGAAATAAAACTCCTGGGTCTGGGGACTGTTCTCGGGCGTGAACATATTCTTCTTCCAAGGCTCTCTCAGTAAACCCTCTACCGTGACCACGCCCTGCGGTAACCCATCCGGTCTACTCGCTTGCTTCTTGAATTTCTTCGGTATCCAACCTCGGTTTACCAAAACTGTCGTTCCTTTCCCTCCTCTTTCCAATGGAGTGATTGCTAGATACCCGTCATGTCTATCGTGCATTCGTGGTCCAATTAACATCTCTTGATCATGTCTGAATGTGCCTGTTGCGTATATTCTTCTATAATCGAAATCGTGGATCGCGTCTGGGTCGATGTGGGGTGGTAAAGGGAGAGGCTCGCGAACGAGGCGGTCTTCGAATTTGGCTATTAGTTTGGATTTCCAGTCCAGACGTTGAACCTGCCATGTTCCGAGACCGAAGGCTGTGATGGGAATTAATGCTGGAAAAGAATCCTGTTAGTGGAGATCAATTGAAGGCAGGGTGGGGAGCAAATACCTAGGATAATGAGTCCAGGACCGTGTCTTTTGCCTCCTGCTCGTACTAGAACGGGGGGATTATCGACAATGCTGTGGAATTCTCCTAGGTCCTTATTCCGGCGTGCTGAGCTTTGGGATATGTGACGGCATGCTGGGCAATTGAAGACTTGGGGTCTTCGTAGATTTTGTGAGAGATTTGATGCTCGAGTTGCCCTTCCTACATGGCGCAGAATAGGTTGCGACTTATTCATGGTAGGTAGGTTGAGGTTAACACTTGTTGCGCTTGTGAGAAGTGAATGGAATTAGGCAAGTAATAGCTCCTCCTACTGTACCACCTTTTTCGAGGATGTGATGGTGCGGCTTGTCAAATGTTGATTGCGATCGCGGGCCGAAGCTCTTTGACCGAGGCCAGACCAGGCGAGGCGGCTACTGTACTAGTAACTGACATACTTCAACTGTTTCTCGCTTCTCCAGCGTAAAAGCTTACATCCATCGACCATTCCATTTCATCCAGAGTCAAGATGGTTTCTTTCTACGAAGGCCCCTTGAACGAGGCAATCGCCACATCGGTACAAGAGGCAAAGGTGCTGGGATGCTTTGTCACCGGTATGATATGGCATCTCATTATCAGATAATCAGTCTCGTCATATGATTGATCACATAACTGATGAGATGCTGTATAGATGATGAAGAGGAAAGCAAATTATGGGAAACCGATTTTCTTCAAGACCCGATCGTGAGTGCCCAGCCTATGATCCCAGTATGAATGTCCTATTAACTGTTTGGTTAGGTTACATCGTTACTATCAAGTCAAACCGTACTCTTGCGTCTCATAGCAGGCTCTCAAGAGGCTGGATATCTGGCACAGATTTTCCCCATACCTAAGACTCCAACTTTTGTTCTTATCAAGTAAGCTATTTTTGATTTCTTATTAGTTCTGAGGCAAGAGAGTTATCACTTGAGGAAGTGAATTCGTTTGTCTCGGACTAATTTCAATCTACAACCTTTCATACATCTCCAAGAGCTTCCAGTGGACTCATATACTGATTTCTATCTAGAAATGGTGAGCTCAAAGAGTATATGGCATCGGGAATTTCAAAAGAGGAGTTCGTCCGTCGAATTAGCGTAGCTTCTCAATCACAAGTTCCCGAGACGCCCTCAAGGACAGCTTCAGCATCTCGTAATTTACCACAATCATCCAATGATAGCCCAGCTACAACATCGACCGCGCCAGCAACCTCAAACAGCACAACCTCAGCACCAATAGAGTCACCCCCTTCAGCAAGTAAGAAGGGAAAGCAACCCGCCTCAGACCCACCCTCAGTACAATCCACCAAAAAAGAGGACCCTCAGAAAAAGGCCGTAGACACAAAATACGCCCTCCAAAGAAAAAAGGAACTCGAAGACGCCCGGAAAGAACGAGAACGTATCCTCGCCCGCGTCGAAGCCGACAAAGCAGCGCGTCGTCATGAAGCCGAACTACGCTCCAAATCACGCGCCAACGTCCTCGCCCACCAACAAGAAGAAGCCACCAAAGCCCAGAGCTCCTCCAATTCCCAGTCCAAAAAACCCGCTCACAGAGAATGTGCTCTTCAAGTCCGAATGTTTGATGGCTCAACCATTCGCTCCAAATTCCCCTCGTCGGGAACCATTCGGGCGGATGTTAGGAAATGGGTAGATGCCAATCTGGAAGGCGATGTACCCTATAATTTCAAACAAGTCCTTACTCCCTTGCCCAACAAAGACATCTCTTTGAACGAAGAAGAACAGGATTTCCAGTACTTGGGATTGACACCCAGCGCTACGTTGATCCTAGTTCCTGTAAAGGAATTTACAGAAGCTTACGGGAGCGGTGGCGCGACAGGACTTATCTATAAGGGCGCTTCATTGGGACTCGGAATCGTGTCTGGGGGTGTGGGGTTGGTGACTGGGACATTGGGAAGTATTTTTGGACCTGGTGGTGCGAATGCGGGTGAGAGTGCGCAACAGCAGCCGAGTGGGGAGGGTAGCACTACTTCTGGGTCTGCAGTCTCGGGCTCTTCGAGAATCAAGGTTAGGACTTTGAGAGACCAGGCAGATGGACAGAATGAGCAGAAATTCTACAATGGGAATTCGGTAGGTTTGACTTTTTCATTTCCTTTCCTTTCCTCTACTTTGGAAGTAAACGGAACAAACTAATCTTCTTGATAGTTGAGGCTTGAACCCAGGCGGGATGACGATAAGGACAAGGATAATTAAGGAGATTCTTGCTTCTTGAGAGAGGAATCCGAGACCAGGGTAGTGCAAGTCATTTCAAGGCAGCGGCGACCGTATTGCGTTTGGATCTCCACTGGCGGCTCTTTTGGCATCGGACAGTCAGAAGTGGCGATTATTATTGGTGAACTTTCGGATTTTACTCATCTTCAAATGGCGATTTGGTGGTTTCCTTTGATCAACCTGGTGGTCGTTCCACTGGTAACATTGGCCGTTTTGTACTCTTACATTCCGCATATCGCAGTCATAATAAAATCTTATATCAAGATGTTAGGTCTTCTTCACGAGTATAAAATCGGATCCCTACTGCAGTCTCTGGTCGAAAGGAACATAAGTTAATCTCACTATTCTCCGTACACCACACCACCACGTACCAAGGGGTCCAAGAATAATAACTGACTGGCTTAGTATACCACTATCCCCACTCATCCGTAAAGACCGAATGATCCCACGCAACTCATAGAATCGGAATGATTACCCCAAAAGCCTCGAATGACATATTAACCCCATCTCGTGTCTGGGGACAACCACTAATTACTAGTTCCTAGCTCCCCTGAACTCATCAGAGCAAGGTAAATACAATCCCTTTCAGTTTTGACTACAATTCCAAATGACTCACTATATCGATACCCATCCTTGGTGATACTGGCATCTGCACATAGATAGATACGCGAAGGAGGACTACAGTAAGAGAGGCGGGCACTGCTCTGTACACGCTATCTAAAGCCGTTGTACCAAAAGTCTGGCACAAGTAACTTAATTGTTCTATTCCACCTAGCACAATCAGAATTGAAAAGTAACAATTGTTCTAAACCATTCGTATAATTGATTTAGTTGTGTGAGGCCTTTAGGATAATATTTTTATAACTCAGGGGTGTACAGAGTAATGCCCGCCTCTCTTACCTTTACTCTTTGATATTCATCACTGCTACTATCCGACAGCAGATCTAGAACTTTCAGAATTCCCTCCGTACTCGAGCAAAGATAACAACAGTATAACCGTACCAGTAACAAACAGAATAGCATACTCACCCCATAGATAAAAAACACATACAATAGCTAGCTTTTATAGTTAGTATCCACCTACCTCTATCAACAAGACATCACGTAAAAGCCCTAGTATTCAAATTGCGTACCTAACAAATAAAGAAAGACAGCTTGCAACGACTTCCATACCCCTCCACAGTATCAATACCCAATCTTTAAGAGTCGGGAGTCAAGAGTTGAGGTAAACCCATAAATCCCTCTTAGAAAAAAAAGAAAAAATAACGACAAGAACCTCAAACCAAATAAACCAAACGAAACGAAACGAAACATCAACAAACACCCCCCCCCCACCATCAC